TAAAGCAAAAAAAAAAAAGCATATATATATGAATGTACTTTTTATTTAATACAAATTAAAAATCCGTATTCATAATTCAACGCATATGTTTAATTTAATATATTCAATTCAATATAGATAAAAAAAAAAAACAAATTTATATCTCTGCCTCTTCATCATTAACAGAATTATATTCGCTTAAACCTGAATTACTATGTAAAGAACGACCTACACGTTGTTTACCTTTACCACGCGAAATGGTCTTCTTATTTTTTCTACCCTCTGTAGATTCCCCAACTTTCTTAACACTTCCTTCTGAACAAGATCCATGATCGATATACTCGACATTTCCTAAACCTTCATCAGAAGACCCACTCAAACTACCAGTTCGTACACGTTTTGCTGCACTGGAACAATCTCTTGAACTCGATTCAGCTTTGTTCAAAAAAAAACTTGAACTGTTTAAAGATTCATTCACAGACTTTTCTTTAGAATTTTCAACGATATTCTGATGAGTAACTAAAAGTTTAGATCGAATTGAATTACTGGAAGTGGAAGAATCTTGAGACACTTTACTATCAAATGATCTCTTCTTGCTAACAAAACGTGTATCCATGAAACTAACATCTTTTGCATACACATAAAATTCATTATCAATTATTTCTAACTGTCCTACCACAAAAATCAACGATTCCAAAAGACGAATTGTATCTTTTAAGTGTACTAAACATGAAAAAACAACATTCATAATGAAATTTTGCTCTTGACCAGAATAATCAGTCACCAACACCTTAAAAATAGCATCATCTTTAACCTCATTCAGCATTTCCTGAGGAATTCCAACTAAAGAAACCTTCAAAGGACATTTATTCGATTCAATAACTTTATTAAAAATCGCTAAATGTGTACATGTAGAAACTATTATCTAGAATTTCCAGTACCAAAAATAAGCACATAAAAGAACATAACAACAAAACATACAAATCAATATCTAACTACACATAACTTAGACTTTGCAATGCATATAAACAATATACACATTCAAAATCAATTTTTCATACATTCAAAAGAAATATGCAACTAGATAATATTGACCATATATATAATAAATATAATAAATACCTTTGCCATCTTCTTTCCACCATAATATCCAGGTACAATCTTACCACCAACCGAAAAAAAAATGATCCTTTTCAAAAATTGCTTGAGTTTCGTAATCCCGATCCTCCGAATTTATAGGAACAAACAAAGTCATCTCA